CTCTTATGTCTGTGTCGCGCAGACCACGCGCAGACATTAGACTTCCCAGATCGTTTGTTTTTTAGAAGACATAAGCTTTTCAAACGTCTGCACGAGCTCTTCTTGGTACAGACATGGTTTTATGTCTTCAAATGTCTTCAAAGGTCTGCGGGAAAATTAAAATCATTTAAATCTATTTTAAAATTTATTTTAAAATATAGATTGATTTATTTTAAAATATGAATTGATTTATTTTAAAATATGGATTGATTTATTTTAAAATATGGAAAAAATTATTTAAAAAAAAGGATTGATTTATTTTAAAATATGGAAAAATTTATTTTAAAATATAGATTGATTTATTTTAAAATATGAAAAAATTATTTTAAAATGTGAATTGATTTATGTTAAAATATGGAAAAATTTATTTTAAAATATGGATTGATTTATTTTAAAATATGGGTTGATTTATTTTAAAAAATGGATTGATTTATTTTAAAATATGAAAAAATTTATTTTAAAATATGGATTGATTTATTTTAAAATATGGATTGATTTATTTTAAAATATAGATTGATTTATTTTAAAATATGAATTGATTTATTTTAAAAAAATTATTATTGTAGTTGTATGGATTATTTAAATTTCAATATTATAAAACTAAAATTATTTAAATTTCAGTATTGCAAAACTCTTTTAAGTTTAAAATATCAGTTTATTTTATATTTTAGTTTATTTTAGCAGTCTACAGACGTTAAAAAATAAACAGTCTTCTTCTTGCAGACTGCAGACTTTTGGTCCACCTCTTCTGCTGCAGATGTCTACAGATGTAGTCCGCAGACTGCAGACCTTTTACCTCTTCAAAAACAAACACCACCTTAATGATCCAAATATAATAGTAAATAACATAAATTATCAAAAATAATAAATCACAAATAAAACGTGACAATTTTTAATTTTATGAATAAAAGTATATAAAAATAGAAGAAGTTTACTTTTTTTTTTTATAATATGAGGTAAGTACAAGATAGCAAATAACTTTCAATATTTTGATATTGAACGCTCACACTCTAAAATTTATGATACTTGAACTTGGGTCTTCAAAAAATAATAACAATTCTTGTACCACGTAGGTAATTTGGTTCGTGCACCTTAAAAGAACCGGGTAGGATAGTAAGAAAAGATAGCTACCGGTAGGGGTGTGCAAATTTCGACTCGAAAACCCGAAATTGTTAACTTGGTTAAAACTCAATTTAAATTGACTTAGAGTTGCAATTTCATAAACTCGACTCGAAAAAATTTCAAATTCAAATCTAATTGAAAAATGCAACTCGAATAACTCAAAAAAAATTAGTAATTAGTGGATTTATTTTCAAGTTTGAATCGAGTCTTTGGACTTTGTATGATATATATCATGTATGAAAAAAATATGAAGAAATATATTTGTATTGTATATATGATTATAGAAACTCACTTAAATTGGAATCAAAGAATATTATAATATTATAAATATTTATAATTAAATTTAAACAAAAACTCGAAAAATCGACTCGACTCGATTCTACTCAAATTTCGTAAACTCAACTTGACTAAAAAAATTTCAAATCAAATAAGATTCATCAACACAAATAATCAAAAAAAGTTATTCGACTCGATCAAAGGATCACCATAGTTATCGGGTCGAAAATAACGGGCTTGTTTCTTTTCGCAAATTTGAAATGTTTAAACAAGCCGAGTTTATGGTTTTCTTTTTCTATGGGGGAGGAGGAGAAGAAGAAGAAGAAGATTCATTTTTTCCCTAAAATTTTCAACTTTCCTCTCCTTTCCAACCCACAATTTTTGTCCTTCAATGTTCTCGAGATTTGCATTTTCAGGTACTGCTAACTCTTTTCACTTTCTTTGAGTTTATGGTTTTTATTTTCTATGGAAATCCTTTCTCCATGGATGCTAACAATCATGGCTTCAGGAGAACTCCAGAAGAAGCAAATCTCTCTGGTAAGAACATCAGGACACCAAATTATGCACTTAGACCGGTCAACAGAAAGAGGACACAGGGGACGGATGCTCAAAATTTGCTTGATTATTTCAAGAAAATGCAGGCTGAGAACCCTGGTTTCTTTTATGCAATACAGCTGGATGATGATAACTGCATGGTTAATGTGTTTTGGGCTGATGCAAGGTCAAGGACAGCCTTCATGCATTTTGGTGATGCTGTGAAACTGGACGCAAGTTACAGAGTAAATCAGTAGCGGGTGCCATTTGCTCCGTTTTCCGATTGAATCATCATGGTCAGACAATCTTGTTTGGTTGTGCATTACTATTTGATGACTCTGAGGCTTCTTTTGGTTGACTTCTCAAGACATTTCTTACAGCGATGAAAAATCATCAACCTGTTTCTTTAGTCACTGATCAATACAGAGTCATACAGACAGCAATGTCTCAGGTGTTTCCAGGTGTTTCATGTGCATCCTAATTTTCAGGTGGAACTGTATAATTGCATAAATTTGACTGAAACTATTGAGGAGTTTGAATTATATTGGAGTATGATTATTGAAAAGTATAATCTTGGGGGGCATGATTGGCTTCATTCATTGTATAATGCCCGAGCTCAGTGGGTGCCTCTATATTTTCGGGATTCCTTTTTTGCAGCAATAACTCCCAATCAGGGATTTGATCACTCATTTTTTGATGGATATATGAATCAACATACCACATTACCTATGTTCTTTAGACAGTATGAACTAGGACTAGAGAACTGGTTTGAAAGGGATATAGAAGCTGATTTTGACACAATACGCACCACACCAGTCCCTCGGACACCATCGCCTATGGAAAAGCAGGCTGCAGATCTATATACAAGGAAAATTTTCACGTAATTTCAAGAACTAGTTGAAACTTTTGTTTACACTGCGAATAGAATTGAAAGTGACGGAGCTATCAGCACATTCAGAGTTGCAAAGTATGAGGATGACAAGAGTGTACATAGTTACATTAAACTACCCTGAAATAAGAGCTAATTGTAGTTGTAAAATGTTATGCTGGCATCCTTTGTAAACATGTTTTAACGGTCTTCACTATGACAAATGTACTTAAATTACCACCTCATTACATCCTGAAACGATGGACACAAAATGCAAATTCTGAGGTTGGAACAGATGAACATGGTGCTGAGTTGCATGGTCAAGATTTGTTGACATCACGGTATAATAATTTATGTCGGGAAGCAATCAAATATGCAGAAGATGGGGCAATAGTTACCGAGACATATAATGTTGCAATGGGTGCACTTAAGGAAGGTGGGAAGAAGGTTTCCGTTGCAAAGAAAAATGTTGCAAAACTTGCACCTCCTGACTCACTAGCCAGTGGAGTTGCCTATCATGACAAGAAGAACTCAACTTCAGCTCCAGATGTGGCCCCTTTGCTATGTCTACAGCAATATGACACTGGTACTCCTGCTCAGTCTGTCTCAGATTTGAATCTGCCATGTATGGCACCCATTTCCCTTCATCGAGATGACAGTCATACTGATAACATGGTACAATAAGTAATTCATTATTTCTCTAAAATTCATTCCATTCATCTATTGCTTTTGAATTGAACAACAGGATACTGACTTGATACATGTTTATGGGTTTCATTAATGCAGCCAATTCTTCCTTGTTTGAAGTCGATGACTTGGGTAATGGAAAACAAAAATTCAACCCCTGGAAGTAGGTTGGCAGTCATTAATTTAAAGGTATACGTGTGGTAAAACTGTAATAGCCCGTGAGCACGTAAAATCCCAAGTTGCAGTGTAGTCGCATTAACCGTTAATATAACCTTAGAATTAATTGCTAAAGCACATGGAACCCTTCAAAACTGTTAAGCTTATGAGGTCCATAGCTATATTATTCACTACTGTTTTTTTCGTGAAGCCTTTTTCTTACTCGTATCTGATATATGGACACAGTTGCAAGATGATAGCAAGAGCCCATCAGCTGAAATGGAGGTTTTCAGCTTTCAAATGTTGGCTTAGAACCCATGTTGAGGTCTATGGCTTATATAAGTGAACAGCTTTCTACCCCAGCTAACAGAGTAGCTGTAATCAATTTGAAGGTATGCAAATCCATAATGGTCAGATATTTGAGCAAATTAAATCTAATGATAATTTTCATTTTTAGGATTCCAGAACTTGCCGACAGTTTGTTATTCTGTAATACATTTTCCTGTTGTGTCCTAATTTGCTTATAAGGTTGGATTTAAAATAGAATAATGCTGCTGTATTCAACATATGCGTTCTTGATTGCCATTTGAACAGCTTCAAGACACCGAAACTAGTAAAGGAGAGTCGGAGGTTAAATTCCAGGTATCCAGGGATACATTAGGAGCAATGTTGAGGTCAATGGCATACATCCGGGAGCAGCTTTTGAATGTTGTAAGCATCCTATTCTTTTACATATCGCAGTTAACCAATGCGTAAGGAAATGCTTGTTTCACATGTCGATTCCTCCCAGCTTCAACCATTTCTCTATCCGTTTCATCAAATGTTGATGCACTATACCTTAATTGTACGAACTTACTTTCTCCAGAGTGAACCACAAGCGGAGCCTTTATCGAAGAAGCATAGGAAACAAGGCATTGAAGTTGGGGGCTACCAGTCTGTGTTTGTTGACGGTATGCCATCATCCATCAGTTAGACTATGATGATGAAGATGATGGGGGGCGGGGGAGCACTCTCCTTAGCGAATCGATATTTTCACCTTATCCTCTTTGTGCACGTTGTGTAACATACATGAAAAAAGAAGCAAATTCAATCATAATGCTTTGCCTTAGTTTTTCCCTCTGGTTCAATGTATTCAATCAGTACAATAACGATTAGGTTTATATAATCATTTTGCGGCCTGCTCATCCATTGGGGGAATGTATCAGCTTGGGAAGTTGCATTCAGATTTTGGTTTTACAAACAGTAAAGTTGAAAGGCTAAAGGCAGGAACCATCTTACTCACATTTTTTTCTCTAATACGACCAAACAAATAAGCTTCTATCCAAGAAAACTTGTTCACTTCAGAACAGGATAAGTCCATTCTACAGCAAATAAATACTTGTATCTCAATAATCATCTCTTTTCGAATAGGTTATGTGGGCCAAGAAATATAATAAGACCTACACACAAGCGACTCGAACTACTCTTGCTCGCAAGAAGTGCAGCTATAGTACAAGGTCAATGCTTCTCTGCTCAGAGAATCGTAAAATAACAGCATTCAACGAGTTCTGATGAAACAGCTTCCGGATTCCATTGGATGCATTTTAGATCCCTTAATTGCTTATACCTACAAACTACGGTAGTCTATAACCGTAACTTCATCATCGGGTGCATCAAGGTCTTGATAACTGCATCAAATAAAACAGTGAACTTTATTAAAGTGGTTGTAACTAAAACAACATTGGCAATCTTCATCTTACTAATAACAAAGCGGTAACCCCGGTTGAGATTATAGCATATATCTGAGATGAGGTAAAATCTATTCAACACCCAAATAAAGAAACAACTTTCTACCCAAACCATAAGGAAAACCATGGAGATTGTAATTTAATTTTATGACAAAATGAAACCAAAACTTAAAGCGTAGATGCAGGGGTAGGGTATTGAACAAGAATATTGCGGTGTGAATATAGACTTCAAAAGGAAAGGAATTGTTGATCAAAATCATCACTTAAGAGCCACCTTGTGATTTATAGACAGACAGTTCCCAAACTAATTTCTGAATTTATACATCCCAACGCTATATACAGTTAAAACACAATTTCTGAATTTATCAGATCATAAAATTTGATCAAGATAATTGCTCAACAAGTAAAATGCCGAGGTATGGTATGGTAGCAGTCCGAGGCAAACTTACCTTCGTAAATGCCGAGGATCTTTTCGGAAGCCAGGAGGCAAAAGAAAGGGGACTGGTCCAGTTAAATTAGGTCCAGCACATCCACTTCGAGCATTGCCTTCAAAAGGACCATTACCACCTCGCTCTCTAAACACTTGCATTGCAAGTTCCGGTGGAGCTGGAACAAAGGGCCCCAGTGGACTGCAAACACACACACATAAGTTACAATGGAATAATAAGCTAAGTGCCACTCTGAAGAATAGCACAAGACCTACCCAGCACCAGGAACAGGCATCAATACTGGCGGAGGTGCCATATCTGAAGAAAATGGGGCTGCTACATGCATCCCTTGTCTGCCAAAAGCATCAAACATAGGATCATCATTGCTCCCCCCATCAGGCCCATCATTGTTTGATGGAAAATCACTTGATTGAGGGTTTTCAGACCTATCAAATCTGTCACTACCACTTGCTCGATTGTCACGTTCTCTATGTGAGCCACGTTCATCTTTCAAGCGATTTTCCATTAATTGACGTCTCTGAGGTTTGTTCTTCTGCAAGAAAAAAAAAATAGGAGGGGAAAAGTGAGGTTAGAAAAGCAGTCTGAATAATCATAACATAAAAACAGCACCACTCATAGAATACCAGTAAAGGTTGCTGCAAAACAGGTTTCCCACCAGGCGCATCTGGATCACTGTGAATGGCAACGATGAATATCTTATAGAAGTATTCTTCAAGTCATGAGAAAAATAATGTAAGAGCTCACTTACTTCATGTAGTTCTGGAAATAGAGCTCTTCACGCACATTAGACGTTTGCTCAAACACAAGTTCTGGATGTTTGAGTTTAAGATGCTTGTGCACAAATTCTGCAGCATGAAAGAGCTTTGTGCAGCCCTTAGCACCACAACCATACTTCCAACCATACTTTTCATCCCTTATCTTCCTGACAAAAGGATCCAAAGCTTCAACAGCAGCAACATCTATTTTGTCCTTAGCAGTCGTTACCTCCAAAGGATCTTGACCACTCAATCTCCCTTGCCAGTGTGAGTCAAGTTTCATTTCCCACTCAGACCCATTACTAGTAACATCTGAATTCTTTCCCTCGGCTCTCACATGCCTAAGACCCTTAGCTTCACTTGTTTCAACCATTCCGTAGTAGTCCACACCATGGACACGCCACAAGTAAGTTATAAGAGTATCAAGAAGCTCAACACCTTCTAGGCCTTTTACAGAAGTCAAGCCACGTACAATAATCACTTGGCCTTCCAAACTACCATGAGATTTATCTCTATTTATTTTGTCATTGTCTGGCCCAGTTAAAATATTTTCCTCGATTCCTTTTTCAGAGTCCAGTTTACGTACAAGGTACTGTGCTTGTCCAATGTCGATCTGAATTCTTCTGGGATCAGAACTGATTGGGTGAGCCTTTGGAGCCAGAGAAAGACCAGTTTCTTTAGTAGGCTCCCTACCATGCCGCTTCCTTTTGCCACCGGTGTCAGTTTCATCTTCAGAATTAGGTTCACTGGTCTGTCCTGATTTATTTGACGAAAAAGCATTGACACCAGGAGTTCTGCATCAAGAACATAAATTATTGAGAGCAGTTGAACAATATTAAGCAGGGAAAAAGTTGAATACGCATATAAAATAAGCAATCAGTATGCTGATCTTACAAGTCCAGTGTTCCACTCTGCAGGTCAAGCAAGAAATCCTTAGCAACTTTGCGTGCAAGCTCATTCCTCCTAAAAAAAAGACATGCCAAAAAATATGAAATTCAGGAAAGAATCCAAAAGATAGCAAGATAGAAGACACTGTATCCATCAATAACATGGTAGAAAATGCAGTATGTGTCAATCAACTAGGAAACAAATTCATGAATTGAAACATCACAAAATATAGAAGTACAACTAACCTTTCAATAACAGTGACCAAGTTTGTCGGATGATATTTGTCTCTCAACCTACAAACATAAGCAAGTCCAATAAGAAATTTGTGAATACAGAGGCAGGAATCAACTAAACAACGGGAAGTACCATTCCTCATCCTTGTGGGCATCAAAAAAAGCTTGTTTTTGGGTAGATATATACTCTGACTTGTATTCTTGGTACCTATACAGTAATAAAGAAACATTTACTAAACATCCCAATTGTTTAAGCTGTGGATACTGTACACGAAAAAATTGACAATATTGTTAGACAGTTACACCTGCGCTCAGCTTCAGCTGGTAGTATATCATCCTCAAGCTCTTGAATGAATTGCTTGTATGTCATCAATCCTTCTCTGAAAATTTTACTTGTCATGTCATACCACCGAATGGGAAATGAAGATCCAAAATCAAATAATTTGAACAACTTCAAAGTCCACCTCAATTAAAAGAATACTTGAATGATATCAACAATGCTCTGAAATGAAAATTATTAGAGCCATATTTAAAACAAGAGCCCAAAACAAAATGGTAGCTAACCTTTGAGCACTCCCTGAATAAGAAGCATCACCATATCTGCCAGAACCAGAATCCCAATCTGCAAAAGCAATATTATTTGACGACTAAAACGAAAATCATAAATTGAAAAGTTGGATAATAAAGTTTGCTGCCGCCGTGTTATACATGCATAATCACTTTACGGAATCTTAGAAGGAATATGCCCATTCCTCATAGAGTCATGATTAACTGCAATTATGCATCATTTTGTAGATGCCTGAAATTACGTCATTTCCTTTCCAAGGGACATTATTAAATAAAGCAGGCAAAATAGGAAACCCAAGTGCAAACTCATCATAATTATAGCACAAAAGATGTGCAATTCCTAGGGTAGAAAAACAAGGATTGGAAAAAGTAAATTCTTTATATAAATAACATCAAGCATGATAATCCAAGATTCTATATTAATAACTCAAATAAAAATCAAATGTGGGTCTAAATTTGTAATGTAACCTTTTAAATTATAGCAGTAAGAAGGGGGTGTTTGGTTGCCGAAATGTAACCTTATGTCTGGTAATAGGATTACCAAAATGTAAGATTACTTGAAATATTACAGGAAACGTTACATTACCATATTAAGTAGCATTTTGCTAAATTATCCTTCCGATAGATTTTTTAAAAGAAGATTAACCTTTTATATTAAATTAGAAGATATTGGCATGAGTACATTTTATTATATTATCCTTCTGATAGATTTTTTAAAACAAGATTAACCTGTTAAATTAATTAGAAGATATTGGTATGAAAGTTCTCAACTGGGCTCTATCTAAATTTTACATTTAACATATTATTAATATAATTAATATATTAAATAACATTTAAAAACAAATGCACATATTATTAATATAATTAATATATTTACCAAAATAATTTTCTATTTGAAATAGAGGTGTCCATGGGCTGGATTGGGCCAAGGTCTGAATTCAAAGTGAGGGCTCGGACCCAACTCATTTGCCCAAAGTATCAATTTTTAATTTAAAAAGTAAAAATTAAATTTATAATTAAATTTAAAAAATATATTTTTAATTTATTTAATTATACCACCTAATCCATGAACTGTGAACGGGTCTAATTTTGAAGAATTAAGTTGACAAAACAATACATTCTAGGGACAAAATTGTCCAAAAATGTAACATTCCCTCAAGAATATTACATCACCAAAAAAATGGGAGGTAATGACATTACCCATGTTCCCAAATAGTGTTTACTACTGGTAACCTTACATTACCACCATTAGCTAATATTGTGAAACCAAACAAGGTAATGTCATTCCAGAAACTCGATAATGTATGATACTTTGTACCAAACTGAATGGCAAAAGGAAGGCAAATAAAAAGGCTAAAATAAAAGGTTAAAATAAGAAGTTGGAGGAAATTTTAAAGTATTTAAGCAAGTTTCAGAAAACATCACCTTGATAACCACCAGAAGAGCGACCAAACCGGCCATGAGGCCTATCATCAAGGTAACCAGGCCTACCCATCATCTCACGATCATATCCACCACCATGATCATACCCAAACCTACACCATTCAAAAGTGTTTTACAGCATGAGCAAAAATCGGAATCGAAACAAAACTGCCAAGTGAAAATAACAAATCATTTTTGATAAAATTACAAGAGTAACATATTAACATAAACATATCTCCAGGCTCAACAGTGAAAATAACAAATCAATAGATGTTACACTGGATAGAAAGAAAAATGAGAACAGACTGAATGATCCACTCCACAGCTAACATCAAATGATTCAAGAAAACAAAAGGTCAGTGTCGGATATATTCACAGGCAATCCAGTATTTTGTGAAAACAATGTAGCCTTCAATAATAAGAAAAGATGAGTGAATCATTCACATGATAAACAAGGGACATAAATAATATGTGAGCATTACCAAGAAGAAATGAAATAAGACTTGAATAAATATACAGAACTCTCAAAAAAACGGAACAAACACTTACAAGTTACAAGGCTTTCATTGACCACAAAAATTTCAATATGTTAACCTAACAAAAAAACATCTTACAGAAATACTAATCCCATCAGCCAATCTCTCTATTAATAGGATCCATTGGCAGCATAAGCGGTAGCAATTAGGATTCATTAGCAGTGTTTGCTTTCTAAATAGTCAATCATGGCCAAAAAACGTATATATTAGAAAACTCTGCAGGTTTGCACCTAAACAATTGATTATTATTAATGTAACCCATGTCATCCTAATTTTCAGTATAATTGTATAAAGAACTCCAAAAAAACAGAACAAACACTTACAAGGCTTTCATTGACCATAAAAATGTTAATATGTTAACCCTAACAACGAAACATCTTACAGAGATACTGATCCCATCAGCCAACCTCTCTATAAATAGGATCCATTGGCAGCATAAGTAGTAGCAATTAGGATTCATTAGTAGTGTTTGCATTCTAAATAGTAAATCATGGCCAAACAATGTATATTTTGCAAACTCTGTAGGTTTGAACCCAAACAATTGTTTACTATTAATGTATCATCCTAATTTTTAAGCTAACGAAATCAGTATAAAGAACTCTCAAAAACAGATCAAACACTGACTGACAAGGCTTTCATTGACCATAAAAATATTAATATGTTAACCCTACCAAATCCCATCAACCAATCTCTATATAAATAGGATCCATTGGCAGCATAAGAAGTAGCAATCAGGATTCATTAGCAGTGTTTGCATTCTAAACAGTCAATCATGGCCAAACAATGTATATATTACAAAACTCTAAAGGTTTGCATCTAGACAATTGATTATTATTAATGTAACCAGCTAACAAACATTCAATATAAAGCACTCTCAAAAACAGAACAAAACACTGATAAGGCTTTCATGGACCATAAAAATGTTAATATGTTAACCCTAACAAAAAACATCTTACACATATACTATTCCCATCAGACAATCTATCTATAAATAGGATCCATTGGCAGCATAAACAGTAGCAATTAGGAACTTAGGATTCATTAGCAGTGTTTGCATTCTAAATAGTCAATCATGGCCAAGAAATGTATATATTACAAAACTCTGCAGGTTTGCATCTACACAATTGATTATTACTAATGTAACCAGGTAACGAACTTTCAATATAAAGAACTCTCAAAAACAGAACAAACACTGACAAACACTGACAAGTGAAAAGGCTTTCATTGACCATAAAAATGTTAATATGTTAAGCCTAACAAAAAAATCTTATAGAGTTACTATTCCCATCAGCCAATTTCTCTATAAATAGGATCCATCGGCAGCATAAGCAGTAGCAATTAGGATTCATTGGAAGTGTTCGCATTCTAAGTAGTCTATCATGGCCAAACAATGTATGTATTACAAAACTCCGCAGTTGGCACCTAAACAACTGTTTATTATTAATTTAACCCGTGTCATCCTAATTTTTAAGCTAACGAACTTTCAATCATCAGCCAAGAAAAATACAATGTTCAGCAAATCAGAAATATGTTCATGACATCAAGCACAGAAAAAACCTAAAACCATAAAAAGCGACAGTTCAAACACATAAAGTAAAATTAAGTAGAATCAATACATTCTAGTTGTAACTTGTAACTACACAGAAAAAAATCTAAGAAATGAAGTATCACCTCCTGTCTCCGGGTCCAAATCCGCCTCTAGGGCTTCCTCTCCTCCCTTCATACCCTCCATCCTCGCGCCTAGACCTCTTATAAGGCGGGGACCTACGAGGCGGAGGCGAGTGTCTCCTACCCCTGTAACTCAACGGCGGAGGTGGAGGGCTAATGCTACTGCGCCGCTTGTAATCTCGCTCTATGGGAGGTGGAGGCGGGGGAGAGCAGTTGCGATCGTTGAAATCGCGGTCCCGTCGCTCACGCGAATCTCGGTCGCGGCGTCGAGGAGGCGGCTGAGCAGGGGGAGAAGAGTTGGGATCGTCAGACACCGGAAGTTGTCTGCCGTTGTTGTTGTTATCTTTACGGTCGCCACCGCGGCGGCTGTCTAGGGAATCGACCGTCATGTTTATGACCTCGGCCATGGCGTCGGTAAAATGAACCCTAGATAGATAAAATATAGAGCAAAAAATCGAAAACTATATTTGCGATGACTGAGGATCGAGAGCAACGAGTAGCCGATATGGTCCAGAAAATAAATAAATATTTACTTTTTATATGTCCTCGTATAATAAGTATTTGGGTAAACTACACGGGGTAGCACCTTTTATTTTTTGTTATGTTCATTTTAATCATATGAATCAAGCAACCTCAATGATTAAATGTTTGTTTATTTGGAGGAATTCATTTTTATGAAAAAACTTTTTTTTATTTGGACAAATTCATTTTTATGAAAAAACTTTTTTCTTTTCAAGTTTGATTGGGGAAAATTAATTTCATTCAATGAAAAACCAATTACAATCAAAGGAAAGATGAGGCTTAAACACGATAAAACAATTTACCGAAATTTTTTTGGGTAAGTCATTTCCCTAAAACTTCTCACACATTATTTATTTTCCCCAAATCTTCTATCAAAGGCATCACAATTCACGATCATCGACTATATTTACTTCTCACCGGCTTTTCTCACTAGTTCTCTTCATCTCATCGACTCTTTTTTACACACACTATCACTCCGACGTCTTCAGAAGAGGTAAGCTTCACGTGTTTTTATATTTTTGAGTTCTTGATCTTTTTTAGCCCAGATCTTTATCTAATAATTTATATCTAAGTGATAAAAGAGTATAAATTTAATAAAAATAAATCTAAAATTGAACCAATTAGCTCATGTATTTGGTGAGTGCTAAAATTTGTAAATTGGGGTTCTATAATGTTATTTTTTTCCAATCAGCTTGGATTGAACTTGAGTCTCCGACTTTGGGAGTAAACTCTTAAATACCAATGAGTTCTGATTGTATGACTTCTTTTCATCTCTAGGAGCTTCTACAATTGTCACCATTTCTTTGGTATTTCCAGATAATTTGTTGATACGAATGGTGATCGTGTGTGATCTCTCAGATTGACTAGGATCTGCTTGTTCTAAAGTAATCCCTTATGCATCTGACATTGCAGGATTGTGTTTATCAAGCTCTTTCTCTTCTTGTGTAGAAATTTCTTTTCCAACAGATATTATATCCATCATCTTGGACATTTGCTCTCTCATCTCTCGTATCTCCTTTTGCTCTTCATCTGACATACGATCTTTGGGTGCATAACTCTCCACTATTTTTGGAACTTCCTCAATATGCCATTTCCTAAATGTGTTATAGTTTACTTGATCATGAAACCCTTTGTCTATTATGAAAACCTTTTACTTTAATGACCACTCACAAATCAACACCTTTTGATTATGTCATGATCATGCAATGCAAGCAAAAAGAAAGCAACATAAAAACAAGTTAGTAAAAATAACAAAATAAATAGATTAATAACCTAATACAAAACAAAAATGCAAATACAAATAAGAGACATAGAAAAATAAGTCAAGAGGAATGATTAATACTAATCAATTAAAATAATAGGAAAAGATTCTACCTAACATGGTATCTACCCTAACATGCTTTTATCAAATAGCAATCTTATCCATACATGTTTTCTACCGCCATGCTTTGTTATTTACAAAAAAAAAAAATTCTAACCACATGATATCTAATTTGCATGCTTTGTATGAAAAATAAATCTAACCGTGTGATCTCTAGTTCGCATACATTTATTCGGAAAGTAAAATTGATTGTCTTTGCAATGAAATTTACAAGTTCGAATTTAATTTAAATAAAGACCCCTTAAAACAATATTATATGAATTTTAAAACCTAATAATATTTAATTATTTCCTATCGAGAAGAAATGACCCCTCATACCTTGAGGCAATCAATTCTTACTCCAATCGAAATAAAGAAATATTACAGTTTCATTGCAATATTCAAATACACGAATTTAAACAAATTTAAAAAATACCAATCCTTTTAGAAAGAAGAATGATATTAGATTATTTAAATACGTCGAGATCGGACCTTTGGTAAGTTCTAACGATCTTTTCTCGAAGAATTTAAATAGATGAACATTTCTTGTTCTCTCGTTCCTAATTTTTATGTGAGATCAAATTTTAGGGTTTCATTTAATGGGACACATTTTCATTTTTAAATTGTCGGAAGTAGATTTCTCATAAGTTAAGACAACTACCTCAGGTCAACTTTAAAATGAAAAGGTGGTACCCTTAGTCAAATTATTTTATATGGGTCGAGTTATTGCTCATAAGGCCATTATACATGTTGGATAAAATATAACTAAATTTAGATGTACATATACATACAAATATGAACAAATTCCTTTAAAACATAAAATGTATTATTTTATTCGAGCAATCCTTAGAAACATATTTCTTGTCAGTTAAGGGGGTTTATTTAAATTCCTCGTATAAAATAATAAGTGAAAATATTTCAATTAGAAAAAATTGGAAAACATGTAAATAAAGGATTAAAATAATAAATATGATAAATTTAGGGATTAGATTATAAAACTAACAAAAGATCAAGACAACCCATGTAAATATTTTACATGTTAAGACACTTAAATCATAAATAAACCAATTTTATTCATCCAGGACAAAAATAATAAGAAATATTAAAATTTGGGTACTAAGCTGTAAACAAAGCAAAATTAATGGTCATAAACAGAAAATATCACGAAAATTAGGTCTGGAATTGTAATTTAGCCATCATCACAATTCGGGATTAAAATGAAAATTATTAAAATATATGGACTTAATCATACATTTACCCAAAATACATATAAATACAGCCAGTGACTAAAATAGAAACTAAGTAAAATTTTAAATCAAAATTAAAATACGTGGAACATTCATTTCAGTGACCAAAATGAAAATTTATAAAACTCAAGGGTTACGAGAATGATTTTTCCTATGTGCCCAAAACGCAGAAACCCCCATCAAAATGGTATCGTATGGGGAAGGTATAAATACCCTTAAAACTGACCTAAATGGTCGCCCAAACCCCATTTCTCTATTTCCCTTCTCTCTCTAGAATGAGAGAAAGCCTTTTCTCTCTGGCTTCTCTCTACCTTTCCCCCACCGGTGAGAAACCGGCAGCCTCCGGCCACCATCCGTCGGAGATCTCTATCGCCGTTCATGGTGGCCAGAATTCAGAAAACGATCCTAAAATGATATTTGATCTTCCCTAACCCCGAATTCGACCACCCCTAAGCCTAAAAACCCTTCGAACGACGTAGATCTAGGATTTTACCTTTAAAAAACCTGACACTCCGATGATGTTTGAGGACTCTAACGACGGCGAGGCAAGACTCTCCTTCCTCTTCTGTTTTTTTAATTGTTTTTTTCTATTCGATTGGTTGTTAGTTCTTGGTTGCTGGCTCTTTTTTTTGTTCAAATGGTTTCCATTCTCTCTGTCTTATTGTGTTCTTTCTTGCAGGTGAGTTTTTATAGAACCAACAGTGCACCTCTTGGATCGATCGAATGAGGGTTTCCCTCTGAGTCACCAATCTATGACGGTGACTATGGCCGGCTGTGACTCACCAGGGGTGGTCGGTGAGGTGGTTGGGTGCATTAAATGCACCTAGATATTCTTTGATTTGGCCGGTGATATCAGCGTCGGCTTTTGCTTGATCGGTGGCTCACGCGATGGAAAGTTGAAAAGTTGGGTGCGTGCTCCTCACGCGCGGCATCAGACAGTTTTGATTCCATCTGCGGCGGCAGTTGATAACTTCTTAGGGTAAAACCCTAATTCTAGTCTAATCTAGACCGTTAGGTCTAGATCTGATCCAACAGTTGAGGATGGAGGCGGCTGGGGCTAAGGGTGAAAACCCTAGCCGGGTTTGGGCCTGATTTGGGTCCACCGGGTTTTCATTCTGGGCTGAAACAGTTGGGCTGGTTGTAACTGGTTCGGGTTTGCTTTGTAATTGGGCCCGATTTTAGGCTATTGTATTTGGGCATGCTTTATAAAAATATAATAATAATAATAATAATAATAATAATAATCATATAATAATAATAAAAATTATTAGGACGAAAACCACTGTTTACAGCTGCCATTCTTTGCTCATTCTAATGTCAACAAGAATAGGGAAAAGACAAAGAGACAATGAGTTTTCATCCATTCAACTTCATGCTTTGAAATCTGATGAGAGATCTACTCCACTGTTTCTCCAGGGTAGATCGGGCTTGATATGTTCCTCTTTTTCGGGTAGTCAGATATGAAGAAAGACGGGTCTGCTCCACTCTTCTTTAGGGGAGATCAGACTTGATTTATTCCTCTTTTTCAGGTAGTTAGATCAATTTTGGAAATAATTTACTGGGTAAGAAACTTTGGTAATCGCTTTCTTACTTTTCAAAAATTTCATTTTCTGAAAATATTAAATGAGAAACTTTGGAAAAATTGCTTTCTCATTTTCATGTGAAAACATCCTACCCGAAGGTCTTATGGATGGCCCGAATGACTTATAATCTTGCTCGAAAGACTTACGGATGGCCCGAATGACTTATAATCTTCCTTGAAAGACTTACAACTGACCCGAAGGATTTAATCATGATGCTCGAAAGTCTTACTAATGGCCCGAATGACTTACCAATTTCAGAAATAATTTACTGGGTAAGAAACTTTGGTAATCGTTTCTTGTTTTTCAAAAATTTCATTTTTAGAAAAGATTTAAATGAGAAACTTTGGAAATCGCTTTCCCATTTTCACAATTCATGTGAAAACATCCTACCCGAAGGTCTTACGGATGGCCCAAAGGACTTGTCATCTTGCTTGAAAGACTTACAGATGACCCGAAGGATTTAATCATCATGCTCAAAAGACTTACTGATGGCTCGAAGGACTTACCAATTTAGGAAATAGTTTACTAGGTAAGAAACTTTGGAAATCGCTTTATTACTTTTCAAAAATTTCATTTTTGAAAAAGATTAAATGAGAAACTTTAGAAATCAGTTTCTTATTTTTAAAACAACTTAATAATCGGGTAACATGCCCCAATTCAAAATAATTGGATTGCGCCCAACTATTCTTCAGGTCTTACCTCTCCTAACGTGATTTTTACATTTGAGGTTTAAATTTTGTCTTCCACTTGTAAGGATTTTGACATCATGAATCTTCTCTTTTCACT